GACTATAGACTAGACTATAGACTAGACTATAGACTAGACTAGACTATAGACTAGACTAGACTATAGACTAGACTATAGACTAGACTATAGACTAGACTATAGACTAGACTATAGACTAGACTATAGACTAGACTATAGACTAGACTATAGACTAGACCATAGACTAGACTATAGACTAGACTATAGACTAGACTATAGACTAGACTATAGACTAGACTATAGACTAGACTATAGACTAGACTATAGACTAGACTATAGACTAGACTATAGACTAGACTATAGACTAGACTATAGACTAGACTATAGACTAGACTATAGACTAGAATATAGACTAGAATATAGACTAGACTATAGACTAGAATATAGACTAGACTATAGACTAGACTAGACTAGAATAGGCTAGACTAGACTAGACTAGACTATAGACTAGACGATGAGACTAGACTATAGACTTAGACTAGACTAGACTAGGACTAGACTCGACTAGACTAGCTATAGACTATAGGACTAGACTATAGACTAGACTATTATGACTAGACTATAGACTAGACTATAGACTAGACTAAGTACAGACTAGACTATTAGGACTAGACTATAAGACTAGACTAGACTATCGGCGATCGACATAGACTATAGACTAGACTATAACTAGACTTATAGATAGACTAGACTAGACTAGACTAGACTAGACTATAGAAGACTATAGACTAGGGACTAGACTCTAGACTAACTGACTAGGACTAGCTAGACTAGACATAACTAGACTCAGGACTAGACTATAGACTAGACTATAGGACTAGACTCTAGGAACTATAGACTAGACTAGACTATAGACTAGACTAGACTATAGACTAGACATAGAATAGACTATAGACTTAAGACTATAGGACTAGGACTATCGAACTAGACTATAGACTAGCCTATAGGACTATAGACTAGACTAGACTATAGACTAGACTATAGACTAGACTATAGACTAGACTATAGACTAGACTAGACTATAGACTAGACTATAGACTAGACTATAGACTAGACTATAGACTAGACTATAGACTAGACTATAGACTAGACTATAGACTAGACTATAGACTAGACTATAGACTAGACTATAGACTAGACTATAGACTAGACTATAGACTTGACTATAGACTAGACTATAGACTAGACTATAGACTAGACTATAGACTAGACTATAGACTAGACTATAGACTAGACTATAGACTAGACTATAGACTAGACTATAGACTAGACTATAGACTAGACTATAGACTAGACTATAGACTAGACTATAGACTAGACTATAGACTAGACTAGACTATTGACTGCTCAAACACCTAGTCAAAAAACTCCGAAGAATAACTCCCAAGAGTCTAATGATTCCTCTAGTCTATAACACCAAGGTGTGATCGTTTTACAAAGATAAGCACCATGTATTGCAGGGTATTGTGATATTTGTATTAACGTTCACCATATATTTAGTAGTACAGTATGTTATTGACTCATATAACACCAATTATTTTTAATTAATGAAATAACTACCGAAAAGAAAAATAAAATAAAAACAACAACATCAGCAATAGCAACAACTACAACAATGACAATGCTACAAACATCAACCAACAATATTATCAATAAAATAAAACCAAACAGGCAAAAAGTCAAATATGTAGTATATTAAAAACAGAAGAGAACAAACAAATAGAATAACAGGTTAAATTTCTGCAAAGGTTCCGCTATCTGTAAAACTTTCCTTAGACCATATTGTACATGTTTCGCCCAGTTTATAAATATTTCTAATCTAGGTAGATTATTCTGGGACACGCTTTGTCCTCTTTATCTTAGCTAGAATGCGTTCATCTTAATTGGAATCCAAATTTTTAGACTATAATTCCCATCACATCTATTAAAATCTTTCACTTGCAACAGTCATTTGACATATCAGCTCAAAACAGATGAACCAAAAGAAAACAACTGCCCTACAACAACATTTAATTACTCGCCAAGTGTAAAAAAACAAGCAATCTCCATAACAACAAAAATACTACTATTGCCAACCTAGACCAATTTTCCGCTTTATAAACACCATATTCGCTATAATATTTTATTATTGATTTTTTTTACTTTTCCAACAGTTATCATTACAATGAAAAAAATGTATGCTAGAGTGTTTTATGATAATCCTTTATAGCAAAAAAAAATTATACTTATCATCAATATTATGATGCTACTGTTGTCGTTTTATATCAGTAACAGCAGCTACAGCAACAATACGTTAGTTACAAGTAATCAGATGTGCGAACATAAATACTCAGATATGTTTATGCATTTGGCTACAGTGGGATATGGAAAATGTACAAACATATCTGAATTTTAAGTCTAAATGTTTTCAGTTCAGTACTAACAAAGTTTTTTAGAAACAAACATTATAAAGAAGCTTTTCCAGCACAGAACTTTGGAAATAAACTTTTTAATAAGAATCTGTTTTTAAAAAGCCTTTGTAAAAGAACACTTTTTTAACGAAATTTTCTTAAAGAAATATTTTAGAAGAAAATAAAAACTTTTTTTAAAGAAGCTTTTCTATAAGAACTTTTTCTATAACAAAACTTTGAAGAAGAAACTTTTTGGAGAGAAGAATTCCTTTTAAAAAGCTTAGTTAGGTATTAGTTAGTCGTAGTTAGTAGTTCGTTAGTTAGTTAGTTAGTAGTTAGTTAGTTAGTTAGTTAGTTAGTTAGTTAGTTAGTAGTTAGTTAGTTAGTTAGTTAGTTAGTAGTTAGTTAGTTAGTAGTTAGTTAGTTAGTTAGTTAGTAGTTAGTTAGTTAGTTAGTAGTAGTTAGTTAGTTAGTTAGTTAGTTAGTTAGTTAGTTAGTAGTAGTTAGTTAGTTAGTTAGTTAGTTAGTTAGTTAGTTAGTTAGTTAGTTAGTTAGTTAGTTAGTTAGTTAGTAGTTAGTTAGTTAGTTAGTTAGTTAGTTAGTTAGTTAGTTAGTTAGTTAGTTAGTTAGTTAGTTAGTAGTTAGTTAGTTAGTTAGTTAGTTAGTTAGTAGTTAGTTAGTTAGTTAGTTAGTTAGTTAGTTAGTTAGTTAGTTAGTTAGTTAGTTAGTTAGTTAGTAGTTAGTTAGTTAGTTAGTTAGTTAGTAGTTAGTTAGTTAGTTAGTTAGTAGGTTAGTTAGTTAGTTAGTTAGTTAGTTAGTTAGTTAGTTAGTTAGTTAGTTAGTTAGTTAGTTAGTTAGTTAGTTAGTTAGTTAGTTAGTTAGTAGTTAGTTAGTTAGTTAGTTAGTAGTTAGTTAGTTAGTAGTTAGTTAGTTAGTTAGTAGTTAGTTAGTTAGTAGTTAGTTAGTTAGTTAGTTAGTTAGTTAGTTAGTTAGTTAGTTAGTTAGTTAGTTAGTTAGTAGTTAGTAGTTAGTTAGTTAGTTAGTTAGTTAGTTAGTTAGTTAGTTAGTTAGTTAGTTAGTTAGTTAGTTAGTTAGTTAGTTAGTTAGTTAGTTAGTTAGTAGTTAGTTAGTAGTTAGTTAGTTAGTTAGTTAGTAGTTAGTTAGTAGTTAGTAGTTAGTTAGTTAGTTAGTTAGTTAGTTAGTTAGTTAGTTAGTTAGTTAGTTAGTTAGTTAGTTAGTAGTTAGTTAGTTAGTTAGTTAGTTAGTTAGTTAGTTAGTTAGTTAGTTAGTTAGTTAGTTAGTTAGTTAGTAGTTAGTTAGTTAGTTAGTTAGTTAGTTAGTTAGTTAGTAGTTAGTTAGTTAGTTAGTTAGTTAGTTAGTTAGTTAGTTAGTTAGTTAGTAGTTAGTTAGTTAGTTAGTTAGTTAGTTAGTTAGTTAGTTAGTTAGTTAGTTAGTTAGTTAGTTAGTTAGTTAGTTAGTAGTTAGTTAGTTAGTTAGTTAGTTAGTTAGTTAGTAGTTAGTTAGTAGTTAGTAGTTAGTTAGTTAGTTAGTTAGTTAGTTAGTTAGTAGTTAGTTAGTTAGTTAGTTAGTTAGTTAGTTAGTAGTTAGTTAGTTAGTTAGTTAGTTAGTTAGTTAGTTAGTAGTTAGTTAGTTAGTTAGTTAGTTAGTTAGTTAGTAGTTAGTTAGTTAGTTAGTTAGTTAGTTAGTAGTTAGTTAGTTAGTTAGTTAGTTAGTTAGTTAGTTAGTTAGTTAGTTAGTTAGTTAGTTAGTTAGTTAGTTAGTTAGTTAGTTAGTTAGTTAGTTAGTTAGTTAGTAGTTAGTTAGTTAGTTAGTTAGTTAGTTAGTTAGTTAGTTAGTTAGTTAGTTAGTAGTTAGTTAGTTAGTTAGTAGTTAGTTAGTTAGTTAGTTAGTTAGTTAGTTAGTTAGTAGTTAGTTAGTTAGTTAGTTAGTTAGTTAGTTAGTTAGTTAGTTAGTTAGTTAGTTAGTTAGTTAGTAGTAGTTAGTTAGTTAGTTAGTTAGTAGTTAGTTAGTTAGTTAGTTAGTTAGTAGTTAGTTAGTTAGTTAGTTAGTTAGTTAGTTAGTTAGTTAGTTAGTTAGTAGTTAGTTAGTTAGTTAGTTAGTTAGTTAGTAGTTAGTTAGTTAGTTAGTTAGTTAGTTAGTAGTAGTTAGTAGTTAGTTAGTTAGTTAGTTAGTTAGTAGTTAGTTAGTTAGTTAGTTAGTAGTTAGTTAGTTAGTTAGTTAGTTAGTTAGTTAGTTAGTTAGTTAGTAGTTAGTTAGTTAGTTAGTTAGTTAGTTAGTTAGTTAGTTAGTTAGTTAGTTTGTTGTTTGTTAGTTAGTTAGTTAGTTAATTAGTTAGATATTCACTCCCGTTTTGAGTCCAACATAGAACAGTTAATCTTTCGGGCCCACTGCTTCTGCCACCACTGTAATAAATCATTTTTTTCTCTTTTTCCACAATTCTCCTAAAAGTACAAATATGTTGTTCTTAATTTATTAATTCAACGAAGCGTTCACCTCACATGGAGCTTTATTATTGAAACATTTAAATATCGTCTATATGTTTATTTGATTTTCATGTATATATTTTATACTAACGGTTTTATATATTTTTTTCCTCGTTTTAATTGACAGATTGAAGGTCGATAACAATGGTGGTGCATGGTGTCCAAAACACATGGTATCAAGAGGATTAAAGGAATATTTACAAATTGATTTGTTGCAAGTTCATGTGATAACGGGCATTCGGACACAAGGACGCTTTGGTAAGGGTCAGGGCCAAGAATACACTGAAGCTTATGTGGTGGAGTATTGGCGTCCTGGTATGGAAAAATGGCGTCGTTGGAAGAATATACAGGGCAAGGAGGTGAGTCGTAGGTGAAAAGATTAAATACCAATTTATTGCGGACTTTATTTTAATGGTCTTTAATGTTGGTTGTTTAAAAATATTATAAATCAACACATAAATTAATTAGCTTTTTACAAATATGTAAAACATTAATGATCCTTTAGCAAATGAGTATTTTCTACATAATTTCTCTTTTAGGTTTCTTTCTACTAATTTCTTTATTAAATAACTTTTAATATACTTTTCCTTCTCCTATCTATGTCCATTCTCCCACAGGTGTTACTAACATTAATTTTTCTTATCTCGTTCAATCTGGCAATTAAAATTCGTTCCTTGTTTTTTCATTAATCGCTGATATGATATTTTTTAATTATATTAATCTTTAACATCATATCTGCAATAAACATTCTCTTGGTATAAAAAACAAGCAATGTTAGCGTAGGAGTCAGGAAGCGATAAACATCTTCAAAAAATAACAAAATTGTTTTACAGCATTTTCTCATACCTTTTCAAAAACTCACTACACGACTTACTAGTTGCCCCATCGTAGCACCAATACATAGTCTTACTTAATCTCAAGATGAAGTGGAAAAACCAACAGATTTATGGTTAACAATTTGGCATGGTTACATGTTTTTTGAACATGTGAAATGAGTTAAGAAGAATAGATGTGTTGGTGGTAAAGGTGATCTGTAAATACCCTAAATTCAAAGACAACGAGTAAGGTGTTTTTAAAACGGGACAAATTAGTAACTTCTCAACAAAACGTTCGGTTATAGTTCAGTTCTAGTTCAGTTCTAGTTCAGTTCTAGTTCAGTTCTAGTTCAGTTCTAGTTCAGTTCTAGTTCAGTTCTAGTTCAGTTCTAGTTCAGTTCTAGTTCAGTTCTAGTTCAGTTCTAGTTCAGTTCTAGTTCAGTTCTAGTTCAGTTCTAGTTCAGTTCTAGTTCAGTTCTAGTTCAGTTCTAGTTCAGTTCAGTTCTAGTTCAGTTCTAGTTCAGTTCTAGTTCAGTTCTAGTTCAGTTCTAGTTCAGTTCTAGTTCAGTTCTAGTTCAGTTCTAGTTCAGTTCTAGTTCAGTTCTAGTTCAGTTCTAGTTCAGTTCTAGTTCAGTTCTAGTTCAGTTCTAGTTCAGTTCTAGTTCAGTTCTAGTTCAGTTCTAGTTCAGTTCTAGTTCAGTTCTAGTTAGTTCTAGTTCAGTTCTAGTTCAGTTCTAGTTCAGTTCTAGTTCAGTTTCTAGTTCAGTTCTAGTTCAGTTCTAGTTCGTTCTAGTTCATTCTAGTTCAGTTCTAGTCAGTTCTAGTTCAGTCTAGTTCAGTTTTTCTAGTTCAGTTCTAGTCATTTCTAGTTCAGTTCTAGTTCAGTTCTAGTTCAGTTCTAGTTCAGTTCTAGTTCCGTCTAGTTCAGTTCTAGTTCAGTTAGTTCAGTTCTAGTTCTAGTTCAGTTAGTTCAGTTCTAGTTCAGTTCTAGTCAGTTCTAGTTCAGTTCTAGTTCAGTTCTAGTTAGTTCTAGTTCAGTTCTAGTTCAGTTTAGTTCAGTTCTAGTTCAGTTCTAGTCAGTTCTAGTTCAGTTCTAGTTCAGTTCTAGTTCAGTTCTAGTTCAGTTCTAGTTCAGTTCTAGTTCAGTTCTAGTTCAGTTCTAGTTCAGTTCTAGTTCAGTTCTAGTTCAGTTCTAGTTCAGTTTCTAGTTCAGTTCTAGTTCAGTTCTAGTTCAGTTCTAGTTCAGTTCTAGTTCAGTTCTAGTTCAGTTCTAGTTCAGTTCTAGTTCAGTTCTAGTTCAGTTCTAGTCAGTTCTAGTTCAGTTCTAGTTCAGTTCTAGTTCAGTTCTAGTTCAGTTCTAGTTCAGTTCTAGTTCCGTTCTAGTTCAGTTCTAGTTCAGTTCTAGTTCAGTTCTAGTTCAGTTCTAGTTCAGTTCTAGTTCAGTTCTAGTTCAGTTCTAGTTCAGTTCTAGTTCAGTTCTAGTTCAGTTCTAGTTCAGTTCTAGTTCAGTTCTAGTTCGTTCTAGTTCAGTTCTAGTTCAGTTCTAGTTCAGTTCTAGTTCAGTTCTAGTCAGTTCTAGTTCAGTTCTAGTTCAGTTCTAGTTCAGTTCTAGTTCAGTTCTAGTTCAGTTCTAGTTCAGTTCTAGTTCAGTTTCTAGTTCAGTTCTAGTTCAGTTCTAGTTCAGTTCTAGTTCAGTTCTAGTTCACGTTCTAGTTTCAGTTCTAGTTCAGTTCTAGTTCAGTTCTAGTTAGTTCAGTTCCTAGTTCAGTTCTAGTTCAGTTCTAGTTCAGTTCTAGTTCAGTTCTAGTTCAGTTCTAGTTCAGTTCTAGTTCATGTCTAGTTCAGTTCTAGTTCAGTTCTAGTTCAGTTCTAGTTCAGTTCTAGTTCAGTTCTAGTTCAGTTCTAGTTCAGTTCTGTTCAGTTCTAGTTCAGTTCTAGTTCAGTTCTAGTTCAGTTCTAGTTCAGTCTATAGTTCCGTTCTAGTTCAGTTCTAGTTCAGTTCTAGTTCAGTTCTAGTTCAGTTCTAGTTCTAGTTCGTAGGAGCACGCTAGACAACAAAACGATTTGTTCAATATTTTTTTGATAAAATATTGAATGTATCATGTGCTTTTGTAAATTTAATATCACTTTAGAACATTAATGGTTATTGATATTCCTCCCCCACTTCAGCAAACTGAAATTCGTGTGGTTATAAATGAAATTCGAGATGCGAAGCTATAGACTAAATATATTTCTTTATACTTTAGTTTTCATACACAACATTTAGATACAACTCAAAGGTCTCATAAAGATTCTCCTTTAGTAATGCACTCAGTTTCTGTTTTTAATTTTAAGCCAAATTGAATGCACCTACAACTTCTTATATATAATTTTTTGTTCATTATACTTCACATGTTGCACTTACAGCTCTTGCAACAAGAAATAAATAAGAAAATTTTCCAGTAATAAATTTCTGCTTGATTATCTACAATTTTTTATTGTTTTTTCTATATTATTGCAGATATTGCCCGGTAATATTAACACTTATAGTGAAGTTGAAAATGTTTTGCAACCCATTATTTTTGCCACAAAAATACGCATCTATCCCTATTCACAATATGATCGTACGGTGTGTTTAAGAGCTGAAGTTGTAGGATGTCCCTGGGAAGGTGAGTAAATTTGAAAATATTTTTTTTTTTTTTATTTATTAAGTATATTTTTGTTGGCGGCTGCTTTTTTAATAAAACTTAAAAATGATTTAAAGGTTTCTATAAAAAATCGATTTATGTTTAAAATCTTGAAAAAAAGAAACATTTTTCCTTTAATATGGGTGGGTGTCTGAGTCTAGCAATATAAGAAAATTTTTATATTTTTTGCCAGCCAGCAGGTGTTGCTTAAAAAATTTATGAATTTTTTTAGTTTTTTTGATAAAAAATTAATTTATGCAAATATGCCAACAATATTTTAATAGACCGTATAATAAACAAAAACCTACTAGTTTTTTCATAAAATATGTATAAATGTGTTGCACGTTCGGCCTATGGGAAGTAGAAACCAAATTTACTAGGCCCACATTAGGCAAAATTAAGATTTTTAAGAAAACATTTTGCCAAAATGTTTAAACATGTTTTCTTACTTAAATATTATAATTAAACCCTTTTCTTAAGACATTTAAAAAATCTGTTTATTACTTTCTTACATACCACGTTTTTTTTTTTGTTTCCATTAAAAACAAGATTTAAAATAATTTCTTGTTAACAGGTTAGAGCAATAAACTATTGAAAAGGACCTTGACTAATACATATTCCAAACCTACAAAAATTACACAAAATTCCACTTAAATATAACTATTAAACAGTTGACCTGACTTTCCTAATAAAAATTTTATTTAAAATTTATTTAATTGTAATTTTGCATGTATAAATCTTTGCATTTTTTACTGTTGTTACTAAAGTTTTTTATTTTAAAAATTGTATGCTTTGTATATACTTTTGTCATGTGCTTTTGTAAAATGCTTACTTAAGCTTTATAAGCATTTAATTCAATCTTTAGCAATCACGCCTTTAGTTGTTAGTTTACAATTAAAATGAAAAACAACCAGAGCCAATGAAGAAAGGCATGCAATATATGACAAAGTATTAACACTATAAAGGTTTAGAGTGGGTCAGAAGGACCACTATAGACAATACTATAGACTAGACCATAGACTAAATAATATACTAAAATATGGACTAGACTGCAGACCAGACTATAGCCTAGACCTATACCTGGACTATAGACCTATACTATAGACTAGACTAAACCATAGACTAGACTATAGACTAAACTATAGAGTATATTATAGTATAGACCTCATACTGTACTATGAAATATATTGTACACTGTATTATATATTAGACTATTGACTACATTATAGACTAGACTAGCCTATGTAATTGAACTATAGACTGGACTATAGACAATCCTATAGGCTAGACTATTAACTATACTGTAGACTAGTGTAGTCTATAGTTTAGTAACTAGTTAAGTCAGTAGTCTTGTCTATAAACTATTTCATAGACTACTTTAGTCCAATTATTTAGTCAATGGTCTAGCCTATAGTCTAGTCTATAGTCTAGTCTCTAGTCTAGTCTATAGTCTAGTCTATAGTCTAGTCTATAGTCTAGTCTATAGCTAGTCTAGTCTATAGTCTAGTCTATGTCTAGTCTATAGTCTAGTCTATAGTCCTAAGTCTATAGTCTAGTCTATAGTCTAGTCTATAGTCTAGTCTATAGTCTAGTCTATAGTCTAGTCCTATAGTCTAGTCTATAGTCTAGTCTATAGTATAGTCTATAGTCTAGTCTATAGTCTAGTCTATAGTCTAGTCTATAGTCTAGTCCTATAGTCTAGTCTATAGTCTAGTCTATAGTCTAGTCTAAGTAGTCCTAGTCTATAGTTCTAGTCTATAGTCTAGTCTATGTCTAGTCTATAGTCTAGTCTATAGTCTAGTCTATAGTCTAGTCTATAGTCTAGTCTATAGTCTAGTCTATAGTCTAGTCTATAGTCTAGTCTATAGTCTAGTCTATTAGTCTAGTCTATAGTCTAGTCTATAGTCTAGTCTATAGTCTAGTCTATAGTCTAGTCTATAGTCTAGTCTATAGCTAGTCTATAGTCTAGTCTATAGTCTAGTCTAATAGTCTAGTCTATAGTCTAGTCTATAGTCTAGTCTATAGTCTAGGTCTATAGTCTATAGTCTTATAGTCTAGTCTATAGTCTATAGTCTAGTCTATATCTAGTCTATAGTCTAGTCTATAGTCTAGTCCTATAGTCTAGTCTATAGTCTAGTCTATAGTTCTAGTCTATAGGCTAGTCTATATTATATTCGATAGTCTAGTCTATAGTCCTAGTCTATAGTCTAGTCTATAGTCTTAGTCTATAGCTAGTCCTAAGTCCTAGTCTTATCTAGTCTATAGTCGAAGTCTATAAGTCTAGGTCTAAGTCTAGGTCTAGTCTAGTCTATAGTCTAGTTCTATAGTCTAGTCTATAGTCTAGGCCATATCTAGTCTATAGTCTAGTCTATAGTCCTAGTCTATAAGTTCTAGTCTATAGTCTAGTCTATAGTCTAGTCTATAGTCTAGTCTATAGTCTAGTCTATAGTCTAGTCTATAGTCTATTCTATAGTCTAGTCTATAGTCTAGTCTATAGTCTAGTCTATAGTCTAGTCTATAGTCTGTCTATAGTCTAGTCTAGTCTATAGTCTATAGTCTAGTCTATAGTCTAGTCTATAGTCTAGTCTATAGTCTAGTCTATAGTCTAGTCTATAGTCTAGTCTATAGTCTAGTCTATAGTCTAGTCTATAGTCTAGTCTATAGTCTAGGTCTAGTCTAGTAAGTCTAGTCTAGTGTATAGTCTAGTCTATAATCTAACCTATATAATCAATATTGTAGTCTTGTTAAAGATTTGTTCTATTCCAGTAAAAGACATTTGTTTTTGCAACCGGACTTGTCATCTATCAAATCTGTTTAAAGATCTTCAAGCTTCTTGCAGGGACACTTTGACGCTGCATTGTTTAGTTAGTGTTAAACCAATAAAATTTAAACAACAACATTTGTGGATATATAATTTTCATTTGTAAGCACAACCCATTGTATGTATGCTCTTTCATGGCAAATATATACATATATATGTACGTAACACATGTGTATGTATATGTACGTATATTGGTTATTCTTTGGGTTATTGTGTTTCAACACATGAGTTTTGCAGAGCATTTCATTACTGTCGCTTTCTGCTGTAGCTGCCTCAACTAATGTTGAGAATGTTCGATGTTCAGGTGCTTAACAAACATGTTAAAACTTAAGTATGCATTTATGTTTCTTGTTTTTCTTTTTTTTTTTGTGCTCTACAGCTTTTAAATATTTTAAACAAACTAGCATACATGTTACTACACGTAACAAATTTTTTGCACTCATATGTGCCGTTTATGCCACAAATGTGGGTAAAAATCGTAAAATTAAAAATTGAAAACCCACCGAATAACAGCAAAACATTAATGAAACTGAAACTCACTGCAATCGTAATGAATTTTAAACATGAACAATACATGTATGTTTAAAAATAGCAACAACATGTAATTGCTATTTATAACCGATTTAATAATAAACGGTAAGAAAATAAGTCAGAAAAAGTAGGATATTGAAATTACTGAGTTATCTACTACTTACGATATTTCTTGATCTTCAGAGGACCTGATTGTTGCAAATATTCAGTTTATTTTAACAAATTTCCGTTACATTCAAAAAAAATTAAATCTTTACTTTACAAATTACTTTTTTCTCTTCAACAAATTCAATTAAAACTGTTCACCTGATTGTCAATGATAACTAAAAATATCCATCATTCTGGTTAACAAATAAATATTATAATTTTCAACACTCCTGGAAAAATGAAAATTCCTCAAAAAATTACCATACTATTGAAGTAGAATTTTGACATTTTTATTTTAATTAAATCTGATAACAATTTATCGATTTCCTTTTCAATTTCAATATTCTATTATAACTAGAAAAAAAAAACGAAAAATAAAATTGTTTGTTATAATTTTTCCAAAATAAGGAATTTTATTATTGTTGCTGGTATTTTTTTTTTGTTCTCTTGTCCAACCACAATATACGGTTGGGACAAAATACATGAAATTTGATTTATATTTGTTACAAGCAAATACAATTTCCGAATTAGCCATTACCACTGCTACTGGTACTGCTACTACTACTACTGCCAATACATAACAATGCCAATAATGAAAACAACAACTAATACTACCAATTGTATTACTACTACAACGTTAACAGCAACAACTATATACAATGGCCATCAACATACAATAATACACGTCAACCGAAAAAACCACTTATACCAGGCCAATACAACACAACAGCAAATACTTATTCATATAAACAAACAACCCAGTAGTTTTGCAGGATGATATTGTAGAGCCTTTTTAGAGAGTAAATTTTAAGAAATATAAAAATAAACTTCTTAAGGAAGAAGGCAAGTCTATTGTCAATAAAGTAGTGCCCAATAATTTAGCAAAATCACTTTGAAATGTAGAAAAAATTTTTTAATCCTTTAACAAATAAGTAGTTATTTTAGCAACTAGAAGTAATCAATTAAAGAATCACTGTCCTCTCCGGACACACGTTCACACACTATACATGAACTTTAGCTTCAGTTTGTTTGTATGAGTGCATATTTATATACTTATGTATGTATAAAATATTTATATACATATTTGTCTCTATGTATTTGTTTATATATGGGTGTATCCCAATTTCAGTGTGATTGAAACTCTTTTTAGAAATAAATATTGAATTGTGGTCATTGGTTAGATGACCAACAAAAATAGAAATTTTTAACATTTTATGTTGCTCTTATCGGTGGAAAATTTTTAAAGTTTTAAATGTATTGAATTAATAATTCTTTTTTATATTATGTGAATAATTAAATCTCTAAATTACAACTGAACTAGAACTGAACTAGAACTGAACTAGAACTGAACTAGAACTGAACTAGAACTGAACTAGAACTGAACTAGACCTGAACTGGAACTGAACTAATACTAGAACTGAACTAGAACTGAACTAGAACTGAACTAGAACTGAACTAGAACTGAACTAGAACTGAACTAGACTAAACTGAACTAGAACTGAACTAGAAACTGAACTAGAACTGAACTAACTGAACTAGAACTAAACTAGAACTGAACTAGAACTGAACTAGAACTGAACTAGAACTGAACTAGAACTGAACTAGAACTGAACTAGACTGAACTGAACTGAACTAGAACTGAACTAGAACTGAACTAGAACTGAACTAGAACTGAACTAGAACTGAACTAGAACTGAACTAGAACTGAACTAGACTGAACTGAACTGAACTAGATCTGAACTAGAACTGAACTAGAACTGAACTAGAACTGAACTAGAACTGAACTAGAACTGAACTAGAACTGAACTAGAACTGAACTAGAACTGAACTAGAACTGAACTAGAACTGAACTAGAACTGAACTGAACTGAACTAGAACTGAACTAGAACTGAACTAGAACTGAACTAGAACTGAACTAGAACTGAACTAGAACTGAACTAGAACTGAACTAGAACTGAACTAGAACTGAACTAGAACTGAACTAGAACTGAACTAGAACTGAACTAGAACTGAACTAGAACTGAACTAGAACTGAACTAGAACTGAACTGACTAGAACTGAACTAGAACTGAACTAGAACTGAACTAGAACTGAACTAGAACTGAACTAGAACTGAACTAAGAACTGAACTAGAACTGAACTAGAACTGAACTAGAACTGAACTAGAACTGACTAGAACTGAACTAGAACTGAACTAGAACTGAACTAGAACTAACTAGAACTGAACTGAACTGAACTAGAACTGAACTAACTGACTCTAGAAATGAACTGAACTAACTAGAACTGAACTTAGAACGGAACTAGAACTGACTAGAACTGAACTAGAACTAGAACTGAACTAAACTGAACTAGAACTGAACTAGAACTGAACTAGAACTGAACTAGAACTGAACTAGAACTGAACTAGAATAACTAGAACTGAACTAGAACTGAACTAGAACTGAACTAGAACTGAAACTATAGAACTGAACTAGAACTGAACTAGAACTGAACTAGAACTGAACTAGAACTAGAACTGAACTAGAACTGACTAGAACTGGAACTTGAACTGAACTAGAACTGAACTAGAACTGAATAGAACTGAACTAAACTGAACTAGAACTGAACTAGAACTGAACTAGAACTGAACTAGAACTGAACTAGAACTGAACTAGAACTGAACTAGAACTGAACTAGAACTGAACTAGAACTGAACTAGAACTGAACTAGAACTGAACTAGAACTGAACAGAACTGAACTAGACTGAACTAGAACTGAAACTAGATTAAACTGAACTAAGAACTGAACTAGAACTGAACTAGAACTGAACTAGAACTGAACTAGAACTGAACTAGAACTGAACTAGAACTGAACTAGAACTGAACTAGACTGAACTAGAACTGAACTAGAACTGAACTAGAACTGAACTAGAACTGAACTAGAACTGACTAGAACTGAACTAGAACTGAACTAGAACTGAACTAGAACTGAACTAGAACTGAACTAGAACTGAACTAGAACTGAACTAGAACTGAACTAGAACTGAACTAGAACTGAACTAGAACTGACTAGAACTGCACTTGAAATGAACTAATTCCTTAAATTCTGCTATTTAGCTCATGCTATTGACAATTTATCTTGCTTGTCGACAGTGAAATAGTTTAACATGATATTATTGGTATTTCTGCAAATAAAATTTAATATTTAATTAAAAATGTTATAAAATTTATAACCTTAATAAATATTTATTCAATTAATATGTTAAATAGCCCAAAATAATGCAACTAAAGAAAGTAAATTAAAGAAAGTAAAAATGTACAAGAATACTTTTGAAAACTTTCAAATGTTTGCAAATAAAAAACCACAATTCATAATCAATGTTCAGGCCTAAGGCTAGACTATACAAATTTTAATTATGTAGTTTTTAAAATTTTATAGTCAAGAGCAAAGAAAAGAAAATTAGAAAATAAATAAATTATGTTCAATATTTAACAAGGCAATTATAAGTTAACATATTGAAAAGTTATAGGTTTATTAATTATTGATTTGTAAGAGTAGTTAAATATGTTTAAATATTTTTTTATATCGTTATTTTTAATGGAATTTCTTATTGTTATTATACATAATATATATTTTACCAAATGCATAAATATTAAAATATTTATTTAGCCTTAACTTTTTAATTTAAACCTATTTAACAATGCCTTCATATAAAGCTGAAAAAACCTCAAATATAATTAAATTTTTAAAATTAAATAAATAGTTTTTTTTCCTTTTGTAAATTTATACAATAATTTGTGGTTGATTGGTTTTTTCGGTGTTTTAATTATTCATAAATATTTTCTGTTAGTTCATGATTTGTAATTAATTTTTAAATTCTTACAAGTAAATAAATGACGGTTTGCTGTGTGTTTAATTGTGCTTATTAATATTTTAAATAGTTTAATCTGTCAAAAACAATAATATCGAATAATCAATTAAGTTGACATTTAAAACAAAATAAATGTGAAACATAACTAGGATAAAACATCTATCACACCTTTTAACGGAAATTTATTTAAAAAATAGTTCAGTTATAGTTTAGTTCTAGCTCAGTTCTAGTTAATTCTAGTTCAGTTCTAGTTCAGTTCTAGTTCAGTTCTAGTTCAGTTCTAGTTCGTGCTAGTCAGTTCTAGTTCAGTTGCCTAGTTGTCAGTTCTAGTTCAGTTCTAGTTCAGTTCTAGTTCAGTTCTAGTTCAGTTCTAGTTCAGTTCTAGTTCATTCTAGTTCAGTTCTAGTTCGTTCTAGTTCAGTTCAGTCTAGTTCAGTTCTAGTTCAGTTCTAGTTAGTTCTAGTTCAGTTCTAGTTCAGTTCTAGTTCAGTTCTAGTTCAGTTCTAGTATCAGGTTTCTATAGTGCAGTTCTAGTTCAGTTCAGTTCAGTTCTAGTTCAGTTATTTCTAGTTCTAGTTCAGTTCTAGTTCTAGTTTCAGTTCTATTCAGTTCTAGTTCAGTTCTAGTTCAGTTCTAGTTCAGTTCTAGTTCGTTCTAGTTCAGTTCTAGTTCAGTTCTAGTTCAGTTTCTAGTTCAGTTCTGTTCGTTCTAGTTCAGTTCTAGTTCAGGTCTAGTGCAGTTCTAGTTCAGTTCTAGTTCAGTTCGAGTTTCAGTTCTAGTTCAGTTCTAGTTCAGTTCTAGTTCAGTTCTAGTTCGTCTCTAGTTCAGTTCTAGTTCAGTTTAGTTCAGTTCGAGTTCAGTTCTAGTTCAGTTCTAGTTCAGTTTCTAGTTCAGTTCTAGTTCAGTTTCTAGTTCAGTTCTAGTTCAGTTCTAGTTCAGTTCTAGTTCAGTTCTAGTCATTCTAGTTTCAGTTCTAGTGCAGTTCTCAGTTCAGTTCTAGTTCAGTTCTAGTTCAGTTCTAGTTCAGTAGTCAGTTCTAGTTCAGTTCTAGTTTCAGTTCTAGTTCAGTTCTAGTTCAGTTCTAGTTCAGTTCAGTTCAGTTCAGTTCTAGTTCAGTTCAGTTCTTGTTCAGGAGTTCGAGTTTCAGTTCTAGTTCAGTTTCTAGTTCAGTTCTAGTTCAGTTCTAGTTCAGTTCTAGTTCAGTTCTAGTTCAGTTCTAGTTCAGTTCCAGTTTCAGTTCCAGTTCAGTTCCAGTTCAGTTCTAGTTCAGTTCCAGCTCAGTTCTAGTTCAGTTCCAGTTCAGTTTTAGTTCACTTCTATAAAACTGCCTTATCAGAACAAAAAACTCTGTTCAGATTTTTTTTGCAAATCTAACTTAAAAAGAAAAACTAAAAATCCTTCGTTATAAATCGATTTAAGATAGTTATTTATTACATTTGAATTTAAATTCAAATTCTTCCTTTATGCATCTTTCTAAACAAAACTCAACATAAATATGAAATAAAATTTTTATTTTACACCAAATTTTCCTCCCATTTTCTATTCATTCTAGAGGGCATTCTATCGTACAGCATACCAAAAGGCGTACAACGTGGCATGGAAATCGATTTATCTGATAAATCTTATGATGGTCATGAAGAAGATGAACGTTTTGTTGAAGGTTTAGGTCAATTGGTTGATGGTCAAAAGGGCAAAGATAATTTTCGTTTAGATCAAGGTTTTGGGCAAAGGTAAGTTACGCAAAAATAAGTATAAAGAACAACAAAAAGTAATAAAAAATTTATTCAATAATAGAGATATAGAGATACGTAAAAATTGTATTTATGTATAGACAAGAAAAGTTTATTGAATAAATATGTATAGCTAACTTTAAGGACTTGTATTTGCTTATCTAAGCACAATAAAATTTATAACAATTTATGAGTATGAAGGCAGGAAAGAATACTATTAAAGTCTTTATGACATGCAGCGAGCTAGAGCAACATAAATACACTGAGAAAATTTATTTAGAGAGGCAACAAGATTTCTTAAGTACTAGTTACAGTAACAAGCATAAAAAGCTTTTTGAATGGTTTCCAACTGTCAAGAGAACTCAGCTGACACAAAAAGAGGACCTGCAACACTTTTTAAACATCATTTGCTACAATTTCAGCATTTTTCTCTGTGTAGTCTGTTCCTATTACTTCCAAGAACGCTTTAGCTGCTATTGACAATCCGTTCTAAATACTACATATGAGTAGTCCACGCCAGTTGCATGTTATGTAAGTAGAACTTGCCACAGAGCTGTATATTAGTTATTTACTGTCCTTGGAAGACTTGTTTTTAAGCGCGTGTTTTTTCTCTACTCTACTCCTGGGTTACTGTGAAAAAATAATATAAATATATATGCATGTTTAAAAGACAAAAATGTCATATAATGCCACCGTGCGTGTGGCACATGTCAAAAGAATATTTTTATGTTAGGAAACCTGATTATATGTATTATTTGTTTGTTGTATATGGTTTGTCATGACATCCATAACGCATGGTATGTTGGCTAAGGAACAAACAAAATATATTTAATAAGAAAAATATTCTGTTATAGATATTTCCACCCCAGTTGGAAATTCTGCGGCACTGAACTAGAACATACCTAACTGGCAACCTTCTAGTTCAGTTCTAGTTCAGTTCTAGTTCAGTTCTAGTTCAGTTCTAGTTCAGTTCTAGTTCACTTCTAGTTCACTTCTAGTTCACTTCTAGTTCATCCTAGTTCAGTTCTAGTTCAGTTCTAGTTCAGTTCTAGTTCAGTTCTAGTTCAGTTCTAGTTCAGTTCTAGTTCAGTTCAGTTCAGTTTCTAGTTCAGTTCTAGTTCAGTTCTAGTTCAGTAGTTCTAGTTCAGTTCTAGTTTCAGTTCTAGGTCAGTTCTAGTTCAGTTCTAGTTCATAAGTTCAGTTCTAGTTCAGTTCTATGTCAGTTCTAGTTCAGTTTCTAGTTCAGTCTAGTTCAGTTCTAGTTCAGTTCTAGTTCAGTTCTAGTTCAGTTCTAGTTCAGTTCTAGTTCAGTTCTAGTTCAGTTCTAGTTCAGTTCTAGTTCAGTTCTAGTTCAGTTCTAGTTTCCGTTCTAGTTCAGTTCTAGTTAGTTCTAGTTCAGTTCTAGTTCAGTTCTAGTTCAGTTCTAGTTCAGTTCTAGTTCAGTTCTAGTTTCAGTTCTAGTTCAGTTTTAGTTCAGTTCTAGTTCATTCTAGTTCAGTTCTAGTTCAGTTCTAGTTTGAATTCTAGTGTCAGTTCTTAGTTCAGGTTCTAGTTCAGTTCTAGTTCAGTTCTAGTTCACTTCTAGTTCAGCTTCTAGTTCACGTTCTAGTTCAGTTCTAGTTCAGTTCAGTTCTAGTTCAGTTCTAGTTCAGTTCTAGTCAGTTCTAGTTCAGTTCTATTCAGTTCTAGTAGTTCTAGTTTCTAGTTCAGTTCTAGTTCAGTTCGAGTTCAGTTCTAGTTCAGTTCTAGTTCTACGTTTTTCTAGTTCAGTTCTAGTTCACGTTCTAGTTCAGTTTCTAGTTCAGTTCTAGTTCAGTCTAGTTCAGTTCTAGTTCAGTTCTAGTTCAGTTCTAGTTCAGTTCTAGTTCAGTTCTAGTTCAGTTCTAGTTCAGTTCTAGTTCAGTTCTAGTTCAGTTCTAGTTCAGTTCTAGTTCAGTTCTAGTTCAGTTCTAGTTTCAGTTCTTAGTTCAGTTTTCTAGTTCAGTTCTAGTTCAGTTCTAGTTCAGTTCTAGTTCAGTTCTAGTTCAGTTCTAGTTCAGTTCTAGTTCAGTTCTAGTTCAGTTCTAGTTCAGTTCTAGTTCTAGTTCAGTTCTAGTTCAGTTCCTAGTTCAGTTCTAGTTCAGTTCTAGTTCAGTTCTAGTTCAGTTCTAGTTCAGTTCTAGTTCAGTTCTAGTTCAGTTCTAGTTCAGTTCTAGTTCAGTTCTAGTTCTAGTTCAGTTCTAGTTCAGTTCTAGTTCAGTTCTAGTTCAGTTCTAGTTCAGTTCTAGTTCAGTTCTAGTAGTTCAGTTCTAGTTCAGTTCTAGTTCAGTTCTAGTTCAGTTCTAGTTCAGTTCTAGTTCAGTTCTAGTTCAGTTTTAGTTCAGTTCTAGTTCAGTTCTAGTTCAGTTCTAGTTCAGTTCTAGTTCAGTTCTAGTTCAGTTCTAGTTTAATTCTAGTTCAGTTTAGTTAGTTTAGTTCAGTTCTAGTTCAGTTCTAGTTCAGTTCTAGTTCAGTTCTAGTTAGTTCAGTTCTAGTTCAGTTCTAGTTCAGTTTAGTTCAGTTCTAGTTCAGTTCTAGTTCAGTTCTAGTTCAGTTCTAGTTCAGTTCTAGTTCAGTTCTAGTTCAGTTCTAGTTCAGTTCTAGTTCAGTTCTAGTTCAGTTCTAGTTCAGTTCTAGTTCAGTTCTAGTTCAGTTCTAGTTCAGTTCTAGTTCAGTTCTAGTTCAGTTCTAGTTCAGTTCTAGTTCAGTTCTAGTTCAGTTCTAGTTCAGTTCTAGTTCAGTTCTAGTTCAGTTCTAGTTCAGTTCTAGTTCAGTTCAGTTCTAGTTCAGTTCTAGTTCAGTTCTAGTTCAGTTCTAGTTCAGTTCTAGTTCAGTTCTAGTTCAGTTCTAGTTCAGTTCTAGTTCAGTTCTAGTTCAGTTCTAGTTCAGTTCTAGTTCAGTTCTAGTTCAGTTCTAGTTCAGTTCTAGTTCAGTTCTAGTTCAGTTCTAGTTCAGTTCTAGTTCAGTTCTAGTTCAGTTCTAGTTCAGTTCTAGTTCAGTTCTAGTTCAGTTCTAGTTCAGTTCTAGTTCAGTTTAGTTCAGTTCTAGTTCAGTTCTAGTTCAGTTCTAGTTCAGTTCTAGTTCAGTTCTAGTTCAGTTCTAGTTCAGTTCTAGTTCAGTTCTAGTTCAGTTCTAGTTCAGTTCTAGTTCAGTTCTAGTTCAGTTCTAGTTCAGTTCTAGTTCAGTTCTAGTTCAGTTCTAGTTCAGTTCTAGTTCAGTTCTAGTTCAGTTCTAGTTCAGTTCTAGTTCAGTTCTAGTTCAGTTCTAGTTCAGTTCTAGTTCAGTTCTAGTATATATGTATTTCATCTCTTGAGTTAATATTTCCAATTCGGTTTCTTAAAGTTAATGAAATATTTTTAAAGGCTTCATTGCTTTCTACATGATATCCAAGGACAAATTTGATGATGGTTTTTTCTGTCAAAGTCATTAAATGATGAGTGAAAAATCACGTCAAATAAGTATAAAATGACAATATTATTTTGTGTTTTAAAGTAAATTTGAATTCTGCGAACATGCAATGCAAATGTGAGAAAAAGTTAATAAAGGCAGCCATTCTTATATTAATGTATATTGTAAATTCTATATGAAATTTGTATTGATCTAGTATACATATGTATTTATACCATAAGTTCTGCCATTTTTACTGCTCTTCTAAAACTGTGTTTCCTTTTGTTGATGGCTTAATGGTTACAATTTATTATTAAAAACAAAATGTTTAGACACGTAAGAAATTAACCAATATAATAAAAATGTCTTGTCAATGGTTCATACAACATTTATACTTATTTCTTACATTTACAAGCATGTCAATGTTTTATAAAGTTGTTAACAAAACGAAAAACCATCACAAACGAGGTTAAACTAAAAGTAAATACTTGTACCAGAATGCGAAAACACAAAACCTTTATAAATATTTAACTGGTTTTCTTTCTTTTGAAACTCGCTTGCGATGCCTGTTTCACTGTTAAAGCAAACTAATTATCCTGTCTTTTGCTAGTTGGTCTCTAGTGTATAAGATGAGCTACGAACGAACCTCCCACTCTTTTTTTGCTGTTGCCTAGTGTAGACTTAATTTTTATCTAAACATGGAAAAACTTTCATTTTTACTGTTAGACGTTTTGTGTGACACTCTTGCGATATAATGAAAACGTATTTTTTAGGAATTATATTATTGTGTGTTAATATTTGTTGTATTTGTTTGTCATTCAAACAATTTTAAATGTCAACAGAACAAATATAATTTGTTTTGTTTATATGGTTGTATTTGTTTGTTTCAGTATCCTCTATCATTTCCTGCAATTCGGGAGGGTTGTCCCAAACTAGTTATTGACACCAAAGTGACATTTTGACACCACTATATAACATATAACATGCAATTAGTTATATGTTGTATATCTGTTTCGAAGGATATCATATGATCCAAAAATATACAAATCCGAGTCACTTAAAGAGTTAGTCTTAAAAAAATAAATAGAAAAGGATTGCATTGGCTCCTTGCCAAACTATGGGGCAGTATGTATGTTTTAGTTAATGTCCGTTTACAAATTGTTATTATTATTGCCCTTGTTCTATGGTATGTGTTGTAAACATCGGAATGATTATTATTAGTGGGGATGTGTATTGTGCAATGATAATAACTGTATTTTAGCCGACATTTTGTTTACACATACATACATTTATTTCTTTAACAGGTTTTAAAAACAACAGGGTTTTAGAAAATAAATGTAACAAAACCTTAAAAAATCTTCTGTTCTAGTTCAGTTCTCGTTCTGTTCTAGTTCTGTTCTAATTCTATTCTAGTTCTGTTCTAGTTCTGTTCTAGCTCTGTTCTAGTTCTGTTCTAGTTCTGTTCTAGTTCTGTTCTAGTTCTGTTCTAGTTCTGTTCTAGTTCTGTTCTAGTTCTGTTCTAGTTCTGTTCTAGTTATGTTCTAGTTCTGTTCTAGTTCTGTTCTAGTTCTGTTCTAGTTCTGTTCTAGTTCTGTTCTAGTTCTGTTCTAACTCTGTTCTAGTTCTGTTCTAGTTCTGTTCTAGGTCAGTTCTAGTTCTGTTCTAGTTCTGTTCTAGTTCTGTTCAAGTTCTTTTCTAGTTCTGTTCTAGTTCTGTTCTACTTTTGTTCTAATTCTGTTCTATATCAGACTAAAATGAAAACCCCTAATACGCATACATTTTTAACGTTAAATGTTGTGTTAATACAGCTTGTCGTGTTGTAACTTTAAATTGTCATTACTTTAGTTCCGCTATTGTCTAAAGAATCAACAGCAACAACAACAACGAAAAGACAGATTCGTATGGTTAGAGAATGAAAAATTTCCATTAAATATGTCAATATTTATTCAAAACAAAAAGGAAAATTATGACAAGCAAATGTTTGTTTAAAGGATAATAAAAATAATAATGATGATGATGATTATAATTACGTTGATTTGTAAGGGAAAGTTGTTTGTTATTATTTTTTATTGTACCAAACAAATTTAAATTTTAAATTTGTATTTACAAACTGAACAACAATTTCTGTTTACATTGTAGTTTTGTGTGAGAATGCTTATCATTAGCTGAAATAATTAGGACAATTTAAGTGCTTGTATAGGAAAATTCAGTTTTAGTGCTGCTTTATAAATTGCAGTAATATTGTTGTTGAGTTTGAACACTTAATTGCAGCGTGTTTGTAGAATGTTGTTTAGTTTTTTTAAACCAAAAGCATTTGTTTTAGGAAATTATTAGGAATACATACATATACTGTAGTCTAATCTATAGTCTAGTCTATATTCTAGTCTATAGTCTAGTCTATAGTCTAGTCTATAGTCTAGTCTATAGTCTAGTCTATAGTCTAGTCTATATTCTAGTCTATAGTCTAGTCTATAGTCTATTCTATAGTCTAGTCTAGTCTATAGTCTAGTCTAGTCTATAGTCTAGTCTATAGTCTAGTCTATAGTCTAGTCTATAGTCTAGTCTATAGTCTAGTCTATAGTCTAGTCTATAGTCTAGTCTATAGTCTAGTCTATAGTCTAGTCTATAGTCTAGTCTATAGTCTAGTCTATAGTCTAGTCTATAGTCTAGTCTATAGTCTAGTCTATAGTCTAGTCTATTGTCTAGTCTATAGTCTATAGTCTAGTCTATAGTCTAGTCTATAGTCTAGTCTATAGTCTAGTCTATAGTCTAGTCTATAGTCTAGTCCTATAGTCTAGTCTATAGTCTAGTCTATAGTCTAGTCTTATAGTCTAGTCCTATAGATCTAGTCTATAGTCTATCTATAGTCTAGTCTATAGTCTAGTCTATAGTCTAGTCTATAGTCTAGTCTAGTACTATAGTCTAGTCTATAGTCTAGTCTAATTAGTCTAGGTCTATCTAGTCTAGTCTATAGTCTAGTCTATAGTCTAGTCTATAGTCTAGTCTATAGTCCTAGTCTATAGTCTAGTCTATAGTCTAGTCTATAGTCTAGTCTATAGTCTAGTCTATAGTCTAGTCTATAGTCTGTCTATGTCTATAGTCTAGTCTATAGTCTGAGTCTATAGTCTAGTCTATAGTCTAGTCTATAGTCTAGTCTATAGTCTACTAGTCTAGTCTATAGTCTAGTCTATAGTCTAGTCTATAGTACCTAGTCTAGTCTATAGTCTAGTCTATAGTCTAGTCTATAGTCTAGTCTATAGTCTAGTCTATAGTCTAGTCTATAGTCTAGTCTATAGTCTAGTCTATAGTCTAGTCTATAGTCTAGTCTATAGTCTAGTCTATAGTCTAGTCTATAGTCTAGTCCATAGTTTAGTCTATAGTCTAGTCTATAGTCTAGTCTATAGTCTAGTCTATAGTCTAGTCTATAGTCTAGTCTATAGTCTAGTCTATTGTCTAGTCTATAGTCTATAGTCTAGTCTATAGTCTAGTCTATAGTCTAGTCTATAGTCTAGTCTATAGTGTAGTTCATAGTCTAGTCTATAGTCTAGTCTATAGTCTAGTCTATAGTCTAGTCCATAGTCTAGTCTATAGTCTAGTCTATAGTCTAGTCTATAGTCTAGTCTATAGTATAGTCTATAATCTAGTCTATAGTCTAGTCTATAGTCTAGTCTATAGTCTAGTCTATAGTCTAGTCTATAGTCCAGTCTATAGTCTAGTCATAGTCTAGTCTATAGTCTAGTCTATAGTCTAGTCTATAGTCTATAGTCTATAGTCTAGTCTATAATCTAGTCTTAGTCTATCTATAGTCTAGTCTATAGTCTAGTCTATAGTCTAGTCTATAGTCTAGTCTATAGTCTAGTCTATAGTCCGAGTTATAGTCTAGTCTATAGTCTAGTCTATAGTCTAGTCTATATGTCTAGTCTATAGTCTAGTCTATAGTCTAGTCTATAGTCTAGTCTATAGTCTAGTCTATAGTCTAGTCTATAGTCTAAGTCTATAGTCTAGTCTATAGTCTAGTCTATAGTCTAGTCTATATCTAGTCTATAGTCTAGTCTATAGTCTAGTCTATAAGTCTAGTCTATAGTCTTCTATAGTCTAGGCTATGTCTAGTCTATAGTCTAGTCTATAGTCTAGTCTATAGTCTAGTCTATAGTCTAGTCCTAATATCTAGTCTATAGTCCAGTCTATAGTCTAGTCTATCTAGTCTATATCTGAGTCTATAGTCAGTCTATAGTCTAGTCTATAGTCCTAGTCTAATAGTCTAGTCTATAGTCTAGTCTATAGTCTAGTCTATAGTCTAGTCTATAGTCTAGTCTATAGTCTAGTCTATAGTCTAGTCTATAGTCTAGTCTATAGTCTAGTCTATAGTCTAGTCTATAGTCTAGTCTATAGTCTAGTCTATAGTCTAGTCTATAGTCTAGTCTAGTCTATAGTCTAGTCTATAGTCTAGTCTATAGTCTATCTAGTCTAGTCTATAGTCTAGTCTATAGTCTAGTCTATAGTCTAGTCTATAGTCTAGTCTATAGTCTAGTCTATAGTCTAGTCTATAGTCTAGTCTATAGTCTAGTCTATAGTCTAGTCTATAGTCTAGTCTATAGTCTAGTCTATAGTCTAGTCTATAGTCTAGTCTATAGTCTAGTCTATAGTCTAGTCTATAGTCTAGTCTATAGTATAGTCTATAGTCTAGTCTATAGTCTAGTCTACAGTCTATTCTATAGTCTAGTCTATAGTCTAGTCTATAGTCTAGTCTATAGTCTAGTCCTATAGTCTAGTCTATAGTCTAGTCTATAGTCTAGTCTATAGTCTAGTCTATAGTCTAGTCTATAGTCTAGTCTATAGTCTAGTCTATAGTCTAGTCTATAGTCTAGTCTATATTCTAGTCTATAGTCTAGTCTATAGTCTAGTCTATGGTCTAGTCTGTAGTCTAGTCTATAGTCTGGTCTATAGTCTAGTCTATAATCTAGTCTATAGTCTAGTCTATAATCTAGTCTATAGTATAGTTTATATTCTAGTGGATAGTCTAGTCTATACCCTAATTGATAGTTTAGTCTATAGTGTTTTACTTAAATTACATTTAACAAAAATGTTTTACATTTTTAAAGTTAAATAATTTGTTTTTTTCATTTCAGGTTACGAATGGGTGGGTTGGCGCAACGATACCGCCAATTTGCAAGGACGTCCCGTCGAAATTACTTTTGAATTTGATGGCGTGAGGAATTTTAGTGCTGTGGTTATCCACACCAATAATATGTATGCAAAAGATGTACAGGTATGTAAAAAATGTTGAAATTTATAGAATAAAATTACATAAAACTAATTAACAGCTAAATGTGGTTTACAACATGTTAATAATGAAAATTATTTTATTGTTTATCATAAAATTAATATATGGTGGTTATTGGTTGGTCTCTTACAAATATTTAGTTTGATTTATGTGATAAGTTTTTATTATTTATTGGTGACACATAAAGATAATTTTTGGTTTAACTCGAAAACCAAATAAATACATAAAATAGATATTGACTATTGAATATTGTATGTTTATATGTTTAGACATTTAGTCATTTAGTTAATATTTATTTAATGATAAACACCAACAACAAGTAATATAGAAAAAAAAACTACATTATATATAGAGTAAATAATTAAAGTTTATTAAATTGTAGCTTGATATGCTGTTAGGTACATGTGTCCATCTGTCCCACCCTATAAATTTGATTTAATAAATAACTATAATGTTGAATTTCGTTGATTAATTTGTTTTAAATTTGACATACTTACTTAAGAATATATATATAATCATAAATTAAACAAATGGGGATTTTATTTTAGGGGAAATTTATTGTATGATTTTGTAAAGGGGGACTAATATCGGATGTTTTCAAAATAATCAATATTTGATCTTTACACCTTTAGAAGCAAGCAGTTCAAAACAAGAACTTCAATACATCCACATTATTCAGAAGGTATTTGACTTTACTTTGTTTCTCTCTATAGCTGGTTTCTCTTCTTTGGCGTACATGCTTGATCTAGTGACGAAAGCTCAAGAGAGATGTTTTAAACGCACTTAATTTTCCTATCTCTCTCTCAAGTTTGCCGGGCTATGATCTAAAAATTTGCCGGTCTATGATCTAAAAACTGCTTAGGCCCCCTTAAAACATATATAAATCTTCATAAATTTCCCCCCTGCTTTATCATAAATATTTCCACATGTTTATCGGTCTGTTAAAATCATCATTTATTTATTTTTTACACAATCCGATAACAATTATTAAACTGTCCTATAAACACTTGAAAGTGTCAGTTCATAATACCCCAAACGAACATACAATTTCAAATGCTCCGGTTTTTTTTAACGAAATATTTACAATACCCCTGTTGCTGTTACACTCTACATGCACTAAATGTAATAATCATTATCGTTAATGATTATCATTGTTTAAATATTAATGAAAAATTAAAAAAGAAATAAAACTAACAAACTTAAAAAAAAAACTTAAACCATAGACCTCCCAAAATGTTTTACTGTTTCCATTGCTCATGTTTTGTTTATCTTTTTATTTTTAATATAAATAAACAAATACAACATATTTATTAATATTTTTTAATTAAATCTTTTGTATGTAACAGTTGGAGTAAATTTTACTTTAGAATTGTGTAATCTTCACACTTTCATGCAATTGTTTATATAAAGTTTAACAGTCGGCCAGTGGAGTTAAACTGCTAGTAGAATTATGATAACGGGTGGTAAAAATTAACAATATACATAATTAAATGTATGAGCAATTTTTTTGTTGTAAAGTTTTAAAATTATTAATTTTTCAAAATACATCACTCCATCAGATTGTAAAAAGATTTCATCACTTCTCTTAAGGCCATATGATACCCTACACCAGTTATGGATATGAAATTTGATTTCATAATAAAGCAGTTATCTTCAATATTATCTTGAATTTCATCGTATTCAAGTAATTTTGTGAAGGGGACTTTGTATGGGAGGTCCATTCTTTATGACATTTAGTAATGTCATTAAGTATAAAAGTTAGTTGTGCCGATATCAAGATCTGTATTTAACATAATTTTGAGCTCAAAGGCTATTTTTGGGGGGTTCTGTTGCAAGGGGTCCAGGTGAAATAATTTACCGATATTAACCATTTTTAATATGCTTTGTCTTTGGGGACCAAAAAAAGCATATGTGCTAAATTTCATCCAATTTTGTTGAAAATTGTGAATTGAACGGACATGGCTAATCGACTCTATATATCCTAAGGTGTAGGTGAAGGACAAATATTTGTGTTCGTTCATCAGTACAAACCCAACATACCCTCCCACCAAACTGATATCGGGTTTTAACAATTTGATGAAAGAAAACCTGCTAAAGTAACGGTTTAGGAAAGCAAGTTTCTAAAGACATTTTTATGATAGAAAACTCACCAAAGAAAAATTTTTAAAACGTCTTTCTGAAAAAAAGTTTTAGTGGAGAAGCTAAGTTAGTTAGTTAGTTAGTTAGTTAGTTAGTTAGTTAGTTAGTTATTTAGTTAGTATTAGTTAGTTAGTTAGTTAGTTAGTTAGTTAGTTAGTTAGTTAGTTAGTTAGTAGTTAGTTAGTTAGTTAGTTAGTTAGTTAGTTAGTTAGTTAGTTAGTTAGTTATTAGTTAGTTAGTTAGTTCTTGTTAGTATTTAGTTCGTTCTTCTCGTTTCGTTAGTTAGTTCGTTCGTTGTTCGTTGTTTTTCGTTCGTTAGTTCGTTAGTTCGTTCGTTCGTTCGTTTAGTTCGTTAGTTCGTTCGTTTTTTGTTGTTCGTTCGTTCGTTCGTTCGTTCTCGTTCGTTAGTTCGTTCGTTCGTTCGTTCGTTCGTTCGTTCGTTAGTTCGTTCTTAGTCGTTTCGTTCGTTCGTTCTTTCGTTCGTTCGTTCGTTCGTTCGTTCGTTCGTTCTTGTTCGTTCTTTCGTTCGTTCGTTCGTTCGTTCGTTCGTTCGTTCGTGTTCGTTCGTTTCGTTCGTTTCGTTCGTTCGTTCGTTCGTTCTTTCGTTCGTTTCGTTCGTTCGTTCGTTCGTTCGTTCGTTTCGTTTCGTTCGTTCGTTCGTTCGTTCGTTCGTTCGTTTGTTCGTTCGTTCGTTCGTTCGTTCGTTCGTTCGTTCGTTCGTTCGTTCGTTCTTCGTTTTCGTTCGTTTCGTTAGTTCGTTAGTTCGTTCGTTTCGTTCGTTGTTCGTTCGTTCGTTCGTTCGTTTCGTTCGTTTTCGTTCGTTCGTTCGTTCGTTTCGTTCGTTCGTTCGTTTCGTTCGTTTGTTCGTTCGTTCGTTCGTTTCGTTCGTTCTTCGTTTCGTTCGTCGTTCGTTCGTTCGTCGTTCGTTCTTTGTTAGTTCGTTCGTTTGTTCGTTCGTTCGTTCGTCGTTCGTTCGTTAGTTCGTTTCTTCGTTTTTCGTTAGTTCGTTAGTTAGTTTTAGTTCGTTTGTTCGTTAGTTAGTTCGTTAGTTGTTCGTTTTAGTTCGTTCGTTCGTTAGTTAGTTAGTTCGTTCGTTTTCGTTCGTTCGTTAGTTCGTTCGTTTCGTTCGTTCGTTAGTTCGTTCGTTCGTTCGTTCGTTCTTTCGTTCGTTCGTTCGTTCGTTCGTTTAGTTCTTCGTTCGTTCGTTAGTTCGTTTTTCGTTCGTTCGTTCGTTCGTTATTTCGTTGTTCTTCGTTTCGTTCGTTAGTTCGTTTCGTTGTTCGTTTCGTTCGTTCGTTAGTTCGTTCGTTCGTTCGTTGTTCGTTTTAGTTCGTTCGTTTCGTTAGTTAGTTCGTTCGTTCGTTAGTTCGTTCGTTCTTTCGTTCTTCGTTAGTTAGTTAGTTGTTCGTTCGTTCGTTCGCTAGCTCGCTAGCTCGTTAGTTAGTTAGTTAGAAGTGTTCGTTTTTATCTCTAATTATTCAGTTAGTTAGTTAGTTAGTTAGTTAGTTAGTAGTTAGTTAGTTAGTTAGTTAGTTAGTTAGTTAGTTAGTTAGTTAGTTAGTTAGTTAGTTAGTTAGTAGTTAGTTAGTTAGTTAGTTAGTTAGTAGTTAGTTAGTTAGTTAGTAGTTAGTTAGTTAGTTAGTAGTTAGTTAGTTAGTTAGTTAGTTAGTTAGTTAGTTAGTTAGTTCTGTTAGTTAGTTAGTTAGTTAGTTAGTTAGTTAGTTAGTTAGTTAGTTAGTTAGTTAGTAGTTAGTTAGTTAGTTAGTAGTTAGTTAGTTAGTTAGTTGTTGTTAGTTAGTTAGTTAGTGTTAGTTAGTTGGTAGTTAGTTAGTTAGTTAGTTTTAGTTAGTTAGGTAGTTAGTAGTGTTAGTTAGTTAGTGTAGTAGTTAGTAAGTAGTTAGTAGTTTAGTTAGTTAGGTTAGTGTAGTTTCGTTAGTTAGTGTTTAGTTAGTTAGTTAGTTAGTTAGTTGAGTTAGTTAGCTAGCTAGCTAGTTAGTTATTTAGTTAGAAGTGTTAGTGTTATTAATACATTCTAAATTATTCCAAAATTTAATTTAGGAACAATGTACTTTAAAATACTATGAACTTTTTAAAGAATTTTCCAGACACTATGGTGCCTACACTTTACATTTATTGCATATTTACTCCAAAACTTCAAAACACAACAATTACATCATATCAATTGTAAATAAAAATACAAAAACTACTCACCACTTGTAGTAATAATCAATAATCAAACAGCAAATACTAAATTTATTGTTTTCTAAAACCTATAATTTTAAAAACATTTTTTTTGTTGTTGTTTACGATTAATATTTAAGAACTACCAACACCACCACCACCTACTTCCATAAGTCATAAAACCCAATGGAATAAAATATTAAAAAACTGTAAAAATTTAACATTAAATTAATTTTTTTCTGGGCATAAAAATGTATAAACAATCTAGACAGGAATGATTACAAATCAACAAAACAACTATTTACAACTCTATATAGTTGTAATCTAAACAAAACAATAAGAATTTTTATTAAAGAAAAAAAAAGGTATTTATTGTTTGTCTATTCAAACATTCTTGTACAAGTATAGAGGTATTTACCAGGCAGTAAAATAAACAAATATAGTAGAGTTTTAATATAAAATACAAAAACAATAAAACAAACAAACACTTGATATGAATAACAAACTATTTCACTAAAAACAACAAACAGTACAACAACAATACAATACACGCTGCGTTACGGACTAACTGACAGTACTATGACTGCATGAAACCTTTTTGAGAGCGTTCACTGATCATACCAGACTGTCTGGCGGCAGCATGTGTATTTACTTCATGAAAAACC